TTCTGTTGTTCTCTACTTTTTTCTTCCCCTTGGATCCCTCCTGTCTACCAGATGACGTCACATAGAGAAGCCTTGAACTGGAAGAATCTTAAGTCTACTTCCTGTTTAGCCACAGCTAATGGAACCATCATCACCAACATTCACCCGTTCACGAATGATCCTCACATGATCTCTTTTGCCGTTAGCTACATCTTTGAGAGAGCTGAGGATGTCCATGACCATCACTACCATGACAGAAGTTTGCCCAGGATCACATGAAAACTGTGCATGGCAACAGCCTCCCCTGATCCTGAAGGCTGAAGTACACCCAGCTACTTTCACCCAGACTGAATATTCTGTAATGATCTCTGAATAGACGTGAGCCCTGCCTGCCTTCTCTAGTCTCCCTGAGTTTTATTGCTCCTTAAGACCTGTTCCAGCCCCACTTACCCGTTCCTGGTAGTCTTTATCGGATAAGCTGCTCACAATGCTCCCACCTCCTGAGACTTAACAGGCTACCTCCTCTATGCTATCTACCTACTCTTCATAGGTTACCTTCTCTACACGCTGGGACCTATCAGGCACTTTGAAACTCTGAATTATGGTGATACAGCTCAGATAACTGCAGTATGTATTTTCCCAATCACCAACATATTTCACAAATCATGAAGTAGGTGGTACAGCAGAGGTTAGAAAAATTCTATTAAGGATAGCAAATGTTTCAGGCTTGCAGGCTCAAGAACTGTCACTCAACTCTGAATCCGATTTCCACTTAGCACAGAAAGAGCCACAGATGCTATGTAACAGGCGGGCGTATCTGGGCTCCAGGAAAACTGCACGGACACTGATGTTTGGGTTGTGCAGGATTTTAATGTCTTATTAATTATTATACTTCTTTACTTCTTTAATTTTTGAAAAATTAAACTTTTTGAAAAACTTTAATATTTGAAAAATATACAAATCGTTCTTGGCTTGTGGTACATACGAACACAAGTGGGAGACCAGACTGGCCTGAGGAGGTTGCCTCATTCCTACTGTAGACTTAAGGCAGTTTCATGTCTATTTATTGTCTATCATTCTCACTTATTCACCTCACATAAATAAGAATATACACACATACATATGTGTATACAGAATTTTTTTTTTGAGCTGAGGATCGAACCCAGGGCCTTGCACTTGCTAGGCAAGCGCTGTACCACTGAGCTAAATCCCCAACCCCAGAAAAAATTTTTTTCAGTGCTGGGGCTAGAATACCCAGGGTATAACACATACTAAGCAAGTGCTCTACCATGGGCCGTACCTAGACCATTTTTTATTGGTGCTATAGAGTTTTAACTTAATTCTATTTTATCTGCAATAATGCAGTTTTTTTCTCTGCTTGAATAATGGACTGTCTTGGAGATAGTTCCAGTTTATCATATATAAAAAAAAATCTTGTTTTAAAAATATTTTTCTTTTGTGTGTATGTAATGTGTGTGTGTACACGTCACAGCATATATATGGAGGGCACAGGACTTTTCTCTCCTTCTTTCTAGCTTTGAGGAGGGTCTCTCTCATTTCTTTAAAGAAAGTTTTTTAAAAACATTTATTTATTGTGCGGTGTGTGTGTGTGTGTGTGTGTGTGTGTGTGTGTGTGTGTGTGTATGGTTGGTGTGGTGTGGTGTGTTTGTGTGTGTGTGGTGTGTGTGTATGGTATGGTGTCTGTGTGTGTATGTATTTTGGTGTGTGTATGTGTGTATGGTATGGTGTGGATGTGTGTGTGTGTGGATGTGTGTTATGGTTGTGTGTGTGTGTATGGTGTGTTGTGTTGTGTGTGTGTATGGTGTGGTGTGGTGTGTATGTGTGTGTGTGTGTGTGGTGTGGTGTGGTGTGTATGTGTGTGTGTGTGTGTGGTGTGGTGTGGTGTGTATGTGTGTGTTGTGTGTGTGTGTGTGTGTGTACTCACATGGTACATGCTTACCACACTGTACATACAGAGATCAAAGGACAATCATAGAGTCAGTCTGTCCTTCCATCACGTGGGCCCAGGGAACTGAATTCCAGTTGCCAGGTGTGTGTGGCGAATGTCTTGACCTGGTGAGTCCTCTCGCTGGCCCCTGATAATGCAGCCTCCTTGAGGGACTCACTGAGGAGCGGGGGCGTTTGGGTAAGCGTTGGTGTTTGCGATCATCAAGCCTCACTGCAGAGGCATTTTAAAAAGTGGTCAGGCATGCTCAGCACCTCTGCAGTCCCCACTGCAACGGGCAGATCCTTACTTACATCTCATGCTCAGCACCTCTGCAGTCCCCACTGCAACGGGCAGATCCTTACTTACATCTCATCTGCAAACCCAGACTGCCCATCTCCATCACTCAAGAAAGACGGCTGTGCGCATGTAAATCACGGAAACTGACGGAACACTTCCCACATCCTGTATCTGTATTTTCACACTGCATTTTTCCATTCTCACAGAGATACCTTGATTCAGGTACAATTCCCACAGCTCCACAGTTTAGAGGATCAAAGCAATTGATTTATGGAAGGTATCAGAGCAATCACGGTTTAGACTTCCAGCTGGAAAATGGGAGGGGCTCCCCTCTTCCCATCATGCATTGCAGATGGCCCACAGTCCACACTCCAGAAGTCATAATCAGAGTTTGATACTGTGTATCTTGTTTAAAAGTTCATTATGCAAAACACAACATTTGGGCCCTAAATAAATTCCCAAATTAGTCTGCAGACTCTAAAGCTCACTGGGATTTCCCTAGCAGATATTTTAAAAATGCCAATAACTGCACACAGCCTGCAATGAGTTAATTCAGAAGCTCTTGGGGCAGGTAGCCTATACCTGCCAGCTTCTCAAGTGCTTAATTGCAACCAGTGCTGAGATAGACTGCATTCTCTGGCCTTGGTGTCCGGCAGTCAGCTGCTATTCCTAGCCACCGACCTCCAACCCTCTTTTATGGGGACTCAACAGTAGTTCTGGTGAGCAGGCAACCCTTAATTAATCAATATTAATAACCAACTTAACACATCAATTATAATTAATCAACATAATTATTCAATTTAATATTGAATAGAATCAATCCACTGATAATATTAGTAATTAATATTAATTAGTATTAAGTATTAGTGGCTAAGTCTGCATCACTGGCTCTCATCTGCAGAGTTCACCCATGTGTAAAAAAACGTCACCATGTTTCCACACCTTCCCTTTGTAACCAGGGACACCTCTCTTATGGAAGAGGAAATCTCGTGGGCCCCCGACTTCAGGACATTATGTTAAGCCCCTGCTTACAAAGAACCCAAGGAAGCAGACACAGCATGAGCTCTGAAGGATTTCCAGTTTTCAAGTCTGCATTTTGTTCCTCCCATAGTCCCGTGACCTCAGACAAGTCAGTCACCCGGCCTCACCGTTTGTTTACACGGAAATAATCCAAGCACCTACATTTCATAGGACCACTGGAAAGATTAAAGGTGAAAACGTATGCGGCTGTGTTATAATCTGGGCCCTCTACTTTATTTCTTCTGAAAAGACAACTGGCTGGAAGGGACGCCATCTAAAACCAGATGATTTTGATGATCGATTTGTAGCATGTAATCAGATCTGAGTGTGTCCTCTGACACAGTTGATGGAAACTATTCATATTCTTAGCCACAGAAGTTTCCAGATCTCCCGGGACTAATTCCAACCAGCCAGACTAGTTTGCAGGCATTGTGAGGACTAGGTGACCTCTCCTAAACAGCAGACTCACGCTGAGTGACAGGAACATTTTACCCAAGAAGGGCTCTTATTTTTATCCCCCTTGGACTGGAGAAGGGCTCGGCCAGAGAGTGGACGGAACTGCTCATGCGTCATGGGCTCAGCCCAGGCCTTCCAACCTGCTGCTTGAAGGCCTGGGCTTTTGCCAGGTCATTCTGCACAGCCAGCCTGTATCTCCCCAGATGACAGGTGAATGAACCAGGCCTCAAGGGGGCTTGAATGTCACCACCCTGGCTGAGCTTCTGCGGTCATCTGACTGTGTGATGGGCACCGAGAAGCCGGACAACCCAGAAAAAGAAAACAAACGCTTGCTTCACCAAGTAACACCCACAGGTGGAAATTCCCTCCAACTTCAGAGCCCCAAACCTAAATAGCTGCTTCTTCCCCGGGGTGAGCCATCAACACAGAATGTACCACGACGTGCGTGTTCGTAAAACCGTCAACCAAACAAACTCAAATAGCTTCAAAGTCATGTTAGACTCACTGTGCTACCTCCTGCATTATTAATACTTTGTTAGTATTCATTAATTTTTTTTTTCAAAATAGGGTTTAATATAGCAAGCTTCAGACCCCAATGGTGGTGTCAGACTTAGGTAGACAGAGACTCAGTGTGGGGTGGGAGGCGTGGGAAGGCCAGACTGAGGGCTTTGTGGCCTGAGTGAAGCAGGCCTTGATGTGACCCAGGGCCAGCTGAAGCAGAAGAGCGAGAACAATCAGAAGGCTTCCACACAAGCTTAATTTGGGGCTTTTTCCCCCTTCACGGCTGTTGCTGCCTGCTTCATGCTCCCATCGGGATGGGATGAGGGGTTGGCGGACAGGACCAGGAGTGAATTTTCACTTGGGGTGACTGACTAACAGAGTCACTGAGGAATTATGGCACTCCATGTCTGGGGGAGGGGGGTCCATCTCAGTTACCATCTAGACCCTCAAGTACTGGGGACTGGGGAAGAGATGCTGAGGAGAGTTATCTTCTGCTCACCCTGAATCCTCAGGGCCATGAAAATCTCATTCTCATTCTCTCTGTCTGTGTCTGTCTCTCTGTATTTCCTTTGAAACTAGGACAACATGAAAATTTTTTTTTTTTCCAAGATAGGATTTCTGTGTGTGGCCCTGGCTGTCCTGGAACTCGCTCTGTAGACCAGAGTGGCCTAGAACTCAAGAGATCTGCCTGTCTCTGCCTCCCGCATGCTGGGAGTGTGCCACCACTGCCCGGTCAGATAACTTGAATGTTGATAATCTAATTCAAGAGTCTGGATTAGCGCGGGCGTTTGAGACTCACCCTTACTACGTAGTTGAATCTTCTGGAATCCAGGATGGCGGTGGAGAAGTCCAGTCTGTTGAAAGCTTCCCCCAAAGTGCAGTATCCATGGCGCTGCATGGAGTGTGACAGAGGCACACATTACTCCTGCCATGTACAGGCTGTTCTCCAGTACACCCCACTGGACTCCGCTGAACCCCCTGGCTGCCCGTCTAAGAGGACTGGCTTTTGTCTTCCTGTCTGTATCGGAATCCCAGGGGACACAGGTGGGTGGTGCAGCCCACCTCTACAGCTGGCGGCTGATCTGTGGACTGTCCCTTTTCATGACTAGCACCACCCTAGTTCTCTGCACGCACTCTCTGGGAGTACTAATGTACAGTGCATTACTGGGAACTGAGTATATGCTATTTGGGGCTGTGATAGTGTCTGCCACACACTCATGGGAAGAGATCAGTTCTCCCTGCCTCCACGGTGGCACCACCCTGCACCCACTGCTGATGCTCTGCTTTGTAAGGAAGAAAACAAGTTTTGAACTTTTAGTACGGACACACAGAGAATTGGGAATACAGAGTTCTGGCCTATCATCTCATTCTGTCCTAAGTTCCTGGGTGACTTGGGTCTGTCCCTGCTCCACCCTCTCTGGGTCTGATGCCATAGAGAAATGAGGTGTTTTCCAAGGTCCCTGAAAGAAACAGGATGCTGTCACTCTAGCCTATTACCTCATGTTCCAGTCGGCAAATTGCTCGTTTTATCAAGCGCCACAGAAGATGGCTAGCATAAGCACCTGAACCTATCTACAGTACAAAGAGCAGACACTGAAAACACTTGCCAGATTTAATTATTAGTCCTCTCAAACCTAACCCCTAACCAAGCCAATACCTGAAGAGAGCTTAGCTTGCTTGATTGCTCGATCGCTCCTCCCCCGCCCCTCTCGCCCCCCTACCCTCCCTCTCCCTCTCCCTCTCTCTCTGACAGAAAGTTGTTACCCTCCTGGCTCCTGTTAGATGTAAAGGACTGTTTTTGCTCAATGCTCTCCCAGGAAGGTACAGCATTACTAAGCACGGTGCTTCAGTGAGTAGATGTGTGCTTACCTCTTTAGTACTTCCTTTGTGAACATAGATCCATTTTTCTTGATGGAAATCTACAGAGGCCAAAAAACGAAAAAGAAACATATCTGAACAGTTTGTTCAGATTTTAAACATGACTCATTTTTTTTATTTATTCCAGAGTTTAAAATGTTTTGACAACAAAGACTTGACCGACAGTCCGAGAGGATGAAAACACTCCTTTTTAGTAGAACCTTGTATCTTCTGCCAACATCTAAGTATCTAGACCATGTGAATAAGATTTGTGCAAGAGAGATGGACCGATTTTCTTCTTCCATCCCCCCTTTCTTTTTCATTTTGAGACAAAGTCTATGCATCCTACACTGACCCCCAAACTCTTCTACCTTCCGAGAACCATGATGCCCAGTCCATTTGGTCCTGAGGACAAATCCAGGACTTCCCACCTGTGAGGCAAGCACTGAGCTACATCCTTAGCCTCACAACTCTGTTTCCAAAGCCTCAAAACACAGGTGAAAAGCAGAGACCCATGGGAATGGATTCAGCTGTATCCCCGCACTGTAACTGTCTCACCCAGGCCACACACAAGGGCCAAGCAGGGATGCACGCAGCTGGCAAGGGCTTTTGAACAGTGAAGAATGCCATAATTGCGCCTGCGGAACGCAAAGCTGCGTTTGTGGACGCAAAGACCCCAGAAACCTCAGTTAGTGACACAGAAGGCAGCCATCTAATAGGAGAGGTGCTAATTTGTTTCTCAAGAACCATTCACAAGAATCTCCCAAGCCAGGCGGTGGTGGCGCACGCCTTTAATCCCAGCACTTGGGAGGCAGAGCCAAGTGGATCTCTGTGAGTTCCAGGCCAGCCTGGGCTACAGAGTGAGTTCCAGGAAAGGCGCAAAGCTAAAGAGAGAAACCCTGTCTCGAAAAAAAAAAAAAAAAAAAGTTCAAGGCCATCATCATCATCCTACTGGGATGGCCTTCATCCAGGGTCACTATGCCTAATTATGCAGTACTAAGGTATTGAACCCAGGACTCTGTGCCTCCTAGGCAGGCACTCTACCAACTGAGCTATGTCCTCAGACACCTTTCTTTTTATGTTCAAAACAAATGACTTACACTGAGTTTTGGTTTTGCTGTTCAGTATGTCTTTCTTTCTCTTCTTGGCTGCAACATCATAGTTGAGGCTGTTGAAAAGATTCTCCTTATTGTATACCTCCTTGCTACAGTAACTGTAAGGGAAGAGAAAAGGGATGTAGCAGCTATCCTTCCACAAATAACTCACTGGTTTATAAAACACACCAACATAGATGCGTCCCAGACAAAACAAAACAATAAAATCATCAAAAAAAAAAAAAAAAAGTCCATACAACAGTGGTTCTCAACCTTCCTGGTGCTGTGACCCTTTAATACGGTTCCTCATGTTGTGGTGACCCCCCCACCCATAACATTATTTTCTTGCTACTTCGTAACTGTAATTTTGCTGTTATGAATTGTAAATATCTGACATGCGACCCCTGGGAAAGGGTCATTCGACCCCAAAGGGGATGCAACCCACAGGTTGAGAACCACAAGCACAGAGACTCTTTGAGTAAAAACATCATCACCTCCATGTGGAAGGCGGGGATGGGGACATGCGCTTCTTCTGAATCCCCTAACAGGGCCTTCCATTATAACTGGATACAGAACACTATACTCTTTAAGAGCGACGCAGCCTGTGACAGTATCACTTTCAACAAAAGTGCTGACCCGGGAGGGAGATGGCTGGCATCACTGTGCCACACAATGCCCGCATTCTGCAAGCTGCAGAGCATCGATTCCAAGCTGCTGTGGCTTCTTCCTTCGATTTCCACCATCTTCTCCCCATCTTCTCCAACCCTCAACCCCTTCTCTCTTTTTCAGACCGGGTCTCACCATGTAGCCCAGGCTGGCTCACCATGTAGATCCACCTGCCTCTGCCTCCTCAGTGCTGGGATTAAAGGTGTGTGCCACCGCCGCCCAGTACCCTTTTCTCTTCTTTTTAAGACAAGATTTTACTATGTAGCTCAGGCTGGCCTTCAATGACTGTGTAGCACAGGCTGGTTTTGAATGTACTGTTCCTCTGCCTCAGCCTCCTAAGTACTGGGTGTGCACAATGCTGGGATTGCAAGCACGTGCTATCCCATCCTGCCCTTCTCTTTATAAACAGTTTTATTGAGCTATAAATTGCATTATTATACAAGTCATCCATTTTTAAAGTATAACAAGCTGCTTTAGCCAGCGTCTTCCTGTCATGCCTTTAAAACATGATCACAATTACAAAAATCTGAGTTTCGAACTCCCCTTCCAGCAGGTCTTTGGCATACGATGCTTGTTGTTTAGGTTTCTGATTAACAACACTAGGCTTCAGGCTGAAAGGCTAAAGTGGGTCCTAACAGAAACCAGGAAAATGCATAATTCATAAACTCAGAGGGGCTGAAAAGACACCCAGTACACTTATTCAATTCATAGGTCACTGAAGGGTGGGCTGGTCCAACTTTGTCCAGGTGTCTACTTCCTTCAGCAGGCTGAGGTATCATGGGAATAAGGGTGATTGTCTCACAATGTAAAGAAAATCCCTGAATACCTTCTACAAAAATGATGGGAAAGAAATACTAAAATTTAACAGGAAGATGGGTTCCTTGCCTCTTTTTTTTTTTTGGTTTTCGTTCTGATTTTCTGAGACAGGGTTTCTCTGTGTAGCCCTGGCTGTCCTAGAACTCACTCTGTAGACCAGGCTGACCTCAGACTCAGAAATCCAGCTGCCTCTGCCTCCTGAGTGCTGAGATTAAAGGCGTGCGCCAGCACCGCCTGGCTCCCTGCTTTTCAACCGTCAAGAGGCAGGAAGGATTTATAACAACCACCTGTACAAATCAGGTGTGTGTGTCCACTAATATATTAAGAGTCCTTTAATTTTCTGACTTTCTCTGTAGAATTTAAAATGTGATTTGATTTATATGTTTTTAGGGGGGATGAATATAAGCAGATATGCTCTTCTGTATTTCCTGCTTTGTGTAAACGATAACAGGGACAGGAAGGCCGGAAACTGTCCAGTATTCTTTCATTGCGATTGGTGTCTCAGTAAGTAGGACTTGCCTTAGTATCTTATTAAAATGCTGAGATCACCAGCTAGATACCCTGGTCCTGCTTTCAGATCCGGCAGGGACAAACCGACAGGCCACCAGTCAACGATTTATTGAGTTCCCGAACGCCTTTAGCCTGCTCTTTTCCATCCAGGGAAACGGGATATTTTTAGGCTTAGATTGTGTGGTGCAGAAATGGCCTCTCTCAGAGGCACTTGCTTAAGTGAGTCAAGGGTGAACATTTTGGGTCAGGTTTTGTAAGGCTGAGTGTGTGTCTGTCTGTCTGCCTGCATAGCTGTGAGGGGCACAGAGCCACTGACAAGGTCATGTTCTGCTTCTAGTCAGCATGAAGAAAGGGGCAGAACAAAGAACAGAACTCCAGTTTCGGAGGCCAACTTAAAGAATTTCAATCAAAGCCAAGGAAGAGGAAAAGATGGGAAGTCACTTGAGTGGTCCGTGATGTCCCAGAGTGTCAGGAAAACAAAGCTAGAACATTCTGTGGGCAAAAATACCACAGGAAGACTTATGTTTAAAGAAATACACAAGAGACCCACAGCCCTACAAACTACAGTAAAAATTCCACACCTAGAGAACAACAAAACAAAGTTATTTTAAGTCATGCATGTAAGGGTCTGCAGCAGGATTCCTTATCAGGCCCAGATAGTGACCATTCTCCACAAGTTTTAACCGTCCACACCTCATCTTATGCTTTTCTAATGGAAAGTGTTCCAGGGAAGTTGAACACTTGTTTTCATCACAGATGCTACAATGAGCTGCTTTAAGCTGGAGTGACTCATTCCCAAAGCCAATTCAGGAAGAATTTCACACCACTGATGATGCTCTCTTGATGCAGAGTATAGAAAAGTTTTAACCACAGGGAAACCCTATACGTCTCATTTTGGATTAGGGTTTGAATTCTGGAGGCTGGGCTTGGAAGCAAGGCTGTGAAGTTTATTTGTGTAGTCTGCTTATGTTTTCTTTCAAGCAATAATCTATTCCGTGACTATTTTGAGACTCCAGTTATGTCTATTTCCAGGAAATGCAAAAATCAATGGAAAATTACAACTCAATGTTTAACAAGAAAAACGTCCACCATTTACAAATTATAGCATACATTATATATAAATATATTTAAAGTAATCAAAACCATCTTAAGGAGGCTGCCTTCCTCACCAAATGTTAACAATAGTCAGTGAGTTGTTACTTTGTAGCTACTTCTTACTAATCTTGATGTTTACAGGCACAGGCCAAGAATAAGGAAAAAGCCCTCCTTCACCCAGCATCCACATTACCATCAAACATATGGAAAACACTATAAGACAACTGCAGAAAAGGTGGGAAGATTTCAAAATAATACGACTGTGGCAGCAGATAAAGGAGGGGCTAGGAAACATGATCTTTATTTATTTCATTCGTTACTAAGAAAAACATTTAATAAAATCACGTCCCGACCCAAAGTGGTTCTATAGTCCTGATTATGGCCAATGAGATTTTGATGTTTATTTGCTCAAAGTCATATCCAGGTTGTCAAACTTCAAAGGACTACTTCCTGGATTGCTTTGGGGGAAACAGGCTAGTGCACGAAGCTTCTTACAATACTGCCTTGCACAGAGTAAGTGCTCATAAAAATATCTCCACTATTATTTTTATTCAAGGCATAAAGACCGACTTCCTCTTTCCTGGGCCAGCCTTAGCAACACACAGTCTATATCACTGAAATGGGCTTTTAACTGCAGACGTCCAGGCTTGGAGAAGAGAGCTGAGATTACTCATCCTGGGGTTGGGGTGGGGCAAGGGTGGCTGGGGAGGAGGCAGTGTGGGCCATCTCAACCACCACTTCCTTGAAGCATTCTTGGATCACTCCAGCTCACTGTTCCTTCCTTGAAATTTTAATCTGCCTTATTTGCCGTTCCTCCTTTATCTTATAAGTTCCAACTTTTTAAGGGGCCAGCTTTAAGCTTATCTAAAGTCTATGGTCTCAGGAGGCATTTGGCTGCGTTGAGACTTTAACATTTGGCTGTTGGAGGACAGGGCCCTGGACCACAGGAACAATGGCCAGCAGAGTCTAGAACAGGTGTACCATGCAGGCAAGTCAGGGTTCACACTAAAACCCCTCAAAGCACACCTTTATTCTTTGCCCTTGCTAGGCAACTCTCAGGATGGTCCATGGAACTAGAGAAGCAGCCTGTGCCTCAGTAGTTCAGTTTACAGTCACTCACCTTCTCTTATAAAGGACCTGCCTTTTGTTTTCTGAGAACAAGAGAGGGCATTCAAGCTCACCTGTGCCGTCAGGCACTGGGCCCAACGCTTACATCACAGGAAAACCAAGACGGGAAACTGGGATATTTGAGATCACAAACCCAGACCTCAGGAGGCCACTGCTTTTAAGAAGTTGGCAGACTCTCGAGCTAAGGAAGGAGGGGATTGTTTACGGTTGCTGGGGGAAAAAATACCCTGCAAACAGCCAGCTGCTCTGCAGAGAGGCAGATGACCAAATCAGTCCTCAACTGTGACTCAGCAGAGGGCTGCAGGTGGTCACGGTGTTGATCGCTGCTGAGATAATGACTGGGAGGGACAGCTTCAGTTCACAGGTGTGATGTGCAAGAACAGAAAGGGGGGGGGGTGGGCAGGAAGGGATGCGGTCCCAGACTCCAGCCTCCTTAAAACTTCCAGGGCAAGATGAACTCATCCTCAGGTCTTTTGTAACAGGGAGTGTGGGGTGTCATGATTTCTGTAGCCCAGAGCAAGAATGGAGTGAGTATCTAGGTGAACTGCGGTCTCCCCGCTTTAGATCTGGGCCTACTGAACACAGTGGGCTGTTACCCTATTTTATTGGAGCAACTCACTGTGATGCAGCTGGCTGAGCCCCTGCAGCATCACCCTGAGATGAAGCCGAGCTTTTTTTTGAGACATGGTTTCTCTGTGTAGTTTTGGTGCCTGTCCTGGATCTCTCTGTAGACCAGGCTGGCCTCGAACTCACAGAGATCCGGCTGGCTCTGCCTCCTGAGTGCTGGGGTTAAAGGTGTGTGCCACCGCCGCCCGGCCCAAAGCTGAACTTTTTATACAGAAACCGAGGGCTGGGATATTAGATTCTGGCTTCTAAGGTGGATGATTCCAAGGAGGAGAAAGCTTCTTCTGGTCTACTTCCTTCTCACTTAGCTGAGGAAGAAGTACTAGATATAACTAACTGTTAATTCTATTCTCTGGAAAATGGTCAGGTACAACAGTTGGTCATTTATCTGATTTTTCTGTGAATAAGATTCCTTTAGAGTGTTCCAAACTGCCTCAGAGGACCTAACACAGAGGTTAATTAATATATTCGGTTCTCCTGAAAGGCCCCGAGTTCAATGTTTTGTTTCACTTCATTAAGAGACAGAGGGAATTCAAGCATTACAAATCACAATCAAATGGGAAGGCCTTGGAGGTCAAGCTGCCCATATAACCATAGTTTCTTGATAATTAATTGCCAAACCTTTATTCAAACAACCATTGGCAAATCTCACTCAGTGGGCCCTGGCCCACTCACAGAACGCTATTGAAGTCAGTTTAAGGATGCAGGGCTGTGTGGGGGTGTCAATCAAAGGATAGTGGGAGGGGAAGGCACCCAGGGGTGACCTCAACTGCACCAGCCCCCTCTGAACCCATTTTTTATCACGTTCCTTGGGTGTCTCAGGCAGTCAGCTGCCCAGGTTGGGGGTTGATCCTCGACCTTATAATTTACGAGTGGGCACTTGTTCCGACCTCAGATTTTCCACCAGACGACAGAGCTCAGGTGAGACTTCAAGTCTGGGTGGTCTTTCTGCAGCTGGCAGGCACCACTGGGGATGGGAGTGTGCGCACCCACCGTGTGAAGACTGACTGGAAAGGGCCACGGAGGAAACAGGTGCAAGAGCCTGGTCCTTCCTGAAGCAGAGCTTTGTGCGTGCTGCGTGTTTCGTACCCGCCTCCCTGCGGCCCTGAGCGTTACCACTACCACCCACTCGCAAGTCTGCCCAGGAAGGCTGCTGTCCCAGGGCCCATCGGCAGCCCCTCCCAGTCACTCTTTTTTTTTTTCTCGGCCCACTCAGCCATCGACTGTGTGTGGGAAGAGCCTTCGTGCAACTCAGGGCAGTCAGTGCCCACGACCAGACCCACCATCCGGCTCGTGACTGCCGTACTTGTTCTCCTTGGGTCCTGTCACAGGACAGGGAAAGGCACACAGCCAACTCGCTGGCGCCCACTTAAAGCAGTAACTCTGCAATCCCGGGGTCTAAAGGCAAGAGTCCCTGAGTTGTGCGCCTGAGTGCAAATATTAAGGGACCTGATCCCGGTTGCCAGACTGAGGGATCTCGGGTTCTGTACGGAATCTTTTTCTCTGGGAGACACTGACCTTGATCAGTAAGAGACACCAAATTACCCATCTCTTGTGTTCTGGAGACCTTTGCAGAAATCCGGGCACCTCACTCCTGCCCCCTCAGCCAGAGGCTCCCTCTTTATCCTGGCCCAGCCCTGCTTTGCCTTCCTTCATCTGCCCCTGCGGCGCTTCCCACCCCACACCCCACCCCTGCGACCAGCTAAGGTCGGGTTTTGTGAGGTTGGAAGTTGGGGGTATGTCCTCACCTGCTGAGGTCGCTCACGAAGCTGCCGCTTTTCTCATCCAGGAAGCGCTTCCAGCCATCGGCTGTCTTCACCCAGCTCTGGCCTGGGGACCGCCAGTCCTGCCCAAGGAACGGCATGGCACCGAGCGCGGACGCGACCGACGGACAGGACGGATTGATAGCCGGGGACCGACCGGCCTGGCTGGCCCCGGGGATGCGCGGCGCTGGAAAGATGCTAGGGGAACACAGGCGGCGACCGGGACAAGTGTGGGGAACTGGTGTGGAGGGTTGCGGGTCTAGGGTGGGCGCGGGGGGTCCTTGCACTCGCAGAGGGCTCAGGCGCTGGGGAGGGTCTCCTGTCGCGTCGGACTCCGGGTATGCTGCGCCAGGCTGCCGGGGCGCAGTATTTATCCGGGGCCTCTGCCCCGGCTCTTTGTTGCCGGAAGAGCCGCCTGCTCTTAGCCCGGCCCCCCCGGGCCCCGAGGCCACGTGGCTTTGTTTATGGGCTCGCCTTGTTTTCCGAGGTGCTCGCGGCTCTCGCTCGGATCGCGCGGTTGCACAACCTTGCGCCCGTGGAAACTTGAAGCCGCGTGGCCAGGCCAGATGTCCCGCTGTCCCTCGGTCCCCTGGCACCTCTGCGCACCCCCCAACGGCCCGCTCCCTCCCCCCCACACACCGGGAGTAGCTGCCGCCACCGAGATCCTGGCCCTGTACTCGGCACTATGTTCTCCCCGCGGCTCCTGGACTAGCTAGGTGCAGCGAGGAAGCCGGCTCCGAGGGCTGGGAACCATCAGACCCTAGGTGTCTGGGAACGTGGGGACGGATCTTTGCAAGCAGATCAGCCTAGGGGAGGCCAGAGTGTCAGGGGCAGGCAGGGTACGGGGCGCAGTCTCTGGACCTCTCTGACTGCCAGTACCAACTCCAGGCGCCAGGGTGTGCTAAGGGGAGGAGGGGACCGGGTGCGTCAGGAGTGGGGAGGGACAGCCCCCACCCCTTCCGCCTTAAAACTGTCATTGATGTGTGTACTGTCAATCTCGACTCCCCCACCCCCCACTCCGGTGGCAAAAGATGGGGAAAGAGGGGGAGACCCTGCGGCTTCTGGGCTCCAAGGCGTGGAAGGGAAGAGCTGAGACAGTCCTGGGCCCCACCCCGGGACTCGGAGCGAACAGCGCGCTGGCGACTGAGGCACCTGGTCCGAACGCTGCCAGTGCGGAGAGGCAGAAAGAGTCTCTGGCTACGCTCACTGTACCTGGTCTAGTGCCCCAGGGCTGCACTTTTATCCTGTGGAATCATTGGAGCCCCCCTCTCTTGCCCTTTCTGCAGTTCAGTTCATGCAGTTCAGGTTGTCCTCTGGCCTTTAGCTATAAAGTCCTCTCCTGGGTTTCCAGTGGGGACCTGCCTGGTGTCATCATGGTTTTCAGGTGAAAGGCCAATGGGTCCTCAGAGGGGGTTAAGACTACCCAGGGTCTTATGGCTACTTTCTTCTCAACTAATCGTCCCTTTCTGCAGAATATAAACTCCCTTTTATTCTAGAGACATCTCAGCCCAATGCCTTGTTATCAGGCCCAGAATTGGCCACTCATAAACATCCTCTCTATCTTGCCCCCCCCCCCCGCCCCCTTCCATCCCCCTCTCCCATGTATGTCAGGTGTCTTCTTCTGTCAATTTTGGTCTTATTTAATTTATTTTTGAGACAAGACTCGCTGAACCTGGAGCTCATTTATTGTCTAGACTGGCAGGCCAATGGACCTCTGGGTTCTCCTGGGTTTTCTCCCAGTACTGGGATAAAGGCATAGTGCATTATTTTTTTGTTTTTGTTTTTGTTTTTTTTTTTTAAACATGAGTGCTGGCGATCTGAACCCAGGTCCTCATGCCTGCTCATCACGACCTTATTCACTGAGACATCCCACTACCGAATCATCTCAGCAGCCTCTCCATAGCCAGTTCTTGTGTGAACAAGGGATTACTGCATCAGGGTGAGGTGGCTTCCCATTTCATTCACTGGCCTCCCACCACTACCAGTCAGACCCGTCAAGTCACATTCATCGGTGCCTACGTGGCACCAGGCAGTAGCAGCAAAGAAAAAAAAATCCCATTAATTAATTAAATTAATTAGAGAATTAGCTTCCTGCTCTCTTCTTCCACACCCTGGCCTCTGTAGCCATGGGCAGTGTCTCTTGCTCTGTGCATTGAGGCTGGGTAAGCAGAGGAACTGAGTGTGCCTGGGGGGGTCTCTCTTGCAAGGGGGAAGGAGATGTTTTTAATAAAGTCTGTCTTCAAGTAGCCAGGATTTTCTGATTTTGGTTTCCCACCATAAATAATTTATTAGTGCAGCAGTAGTAAAAATGGCTTGTAAAAGCAGAGCAGAAGGTCCCAAATAATGTTAAACTCCCATCAGGCTAAGAGAAGAGGCAACGCTGGGCCGGGGCTTTGTTGAAGAAGAACTAATTTGGGCCCTGAAACACAAGGGATGTGATTATCAACGATGCCGGGGGCTACTTCCAGGAAGAAACCACAGAGGTCTGGAAGGCAGAGGCTGTGAATTCTAATTTTGCTAAAGCAGCCTACACTTCGTCCGGTGAACAACAGAAGGCTCCACAGACTCAAGACAATGGTGCAGGGGATGCCTGCCTTTCAGACTGTTGAGAGAGTATAGTAGTTGGGGTTTTTAAGCGCCATTTCTTTCCTCTCTGTTATAATAGTGGTATGGATCCACGCTCTTGACCTGGCCGCTTGCAGGAGAGTGGAGGAAGCCTTGGGTGAACATGTAAAGAACAGTTGAAACCCTGAGTGTGTATTATTAACATGCTTACCGTTATGTCAAGGGCTCCAGTGCATTAGACCAATGAGAGTGGCCAAACCTTCTCCAAGTTAGGTTCAGGAAATTGGCAAAAGTCTTCCTGTGTGTTGTGCAACAGTTTCCTCCAAGATGGAAACATTCCATACTGTGGGGAAGCTCTTTAAGCAGAGAGGTAAACTACTCAAAATAGGTTCAGGAAGTCCCTGAAACCGACAAGATTCACTAGGCCCCCTCGGGCCAGAGTAAGCAATAAAGACTGCCAAGGGTCACTCTCAGAGAAGCCAAGGTGAATAGGAGACTGTCAGCCAAGCCAAGCTGTAAAAATGAGACCAGACAGGATGCCTGGAAGCAGCAGAGACCACCTAGCAGCCTGGAAGAGGTTTAGACCAGAGTCACTTGGAAAGGACACTCTCCAACCTGCTGAGCTGCCTGAAGGCTGTGAGGTGTGTTCCAAGTTCCCATTGTTGTGCCTTGTCACCCATGCTGTGGTGGGTCTTGGTGATGCAGCTGTCTCTGAGTCATTTCTGCTCCTGTAACTAACCTCTCACCCATATTCCTGCAAGTAACCCCAATAACACTCGTTGGTTTACCAAGCTCGATTTGGGTGGTATCCATACTTTGATCTGTCCTGGGCTCCCACTCTATGGTGACTAGACGTGTCTGTAGTGTCTCCCCAACAAAAGTTTTGTCACATAACACAATGACCCAAGTACAAGTGTTTATGAACGACTGACCGGTGTGTATAAAAACTATCAACCACAGCATTCTCCTCTGGGATCACCGCAGCCTGAGACTGCTTCCCTACAGAGACCTTCTATTGAGACTAGGTAAGCCTGCCCCTGAGGTGTATACCATCAACCCGCCTCCTCCATTCAGATGTGTAAAATAAAGGCTGTGTTTCTGGGCTGCTTCTGTGGTTGCTGCATCTCCACCAGCGTGCATGGCCTGGCCCACCCAAGCCCAGATTTTCTCTACCTTTCTGTACCTGTGTATCTTTTTTCCATTCTCTTGCTGCCCCAGTCAGTTTTCCAGAACTAAAGCCATGCAGGACACAGCAGCATCTGGATGGGCAATCTGTACCTTTGAGTTACTGGCCATGTGACTTGCTTGGGCCAATGGAATAAATGCTAGGAACATGTGATGAGGACAGAGGTTATTTACCTACAGAATTGAGATCTCTTGTTTCTACCCTTCCGTATCCTGGATAGTCACTACTCTTTGAACTGCTAGAGTGGCACCATGTATCCTGGGATGTGACACATGAAACAGGTCTCCCTGGTATCCTACATATGTTAGCAAGAAATAAAGGTTTCCTGTAGAAAGATGCTGAGATTTGTTTGTTCCACAATATCATCATCTCTATAGCTGGGGAAAGGACCCCCAAGAGCAAGTTCTCAGCACAAAGGAGATCAGTTTGCCCCAGAGGGACAGAGGGCAGGGAACAAGAGACACAGACAGGAGCTAGAGGATGAGGAAGAAAGGGAAGGGAAGAGAGAGGGGGCTGGGGTATTTATCCTGGGGGGGGGGGTGTCAAAGGACTGTCTCTGGATAGAGAGGAGACAGACGTGGCCCAAAGGAAAAATGAAAGTTTATGAAGGTAAAAGGGGAAACCACGTGTTAGGATGAAGTGTTTAATTTTAATTGGGCATGTTAATTAGGACAGCCAATGGGGGCTTTGGATTGTTGGGCTTCAATACTTTGATAGCTGGATCTTGGTGGTCAACCTCAGGAGGAGGAAGTGGCCAAATAAGGGAATGGACCTTGGTGAGTAGCTTTAGGAATGCAATCTAACGGTTTAGCAAGGCAGAGGGAGTCGGGGAGAAGGGCAAGGCCTGCCAGAGCCAAGTTCACCATGAACGGGCCAGGCTCAAGTCCCTGCAGCAGACTGTTAGAAAGAATCAAGTGGCTGAAACTGATGGACTTTTTTTCTTTAATCTCTAAAATTTAAACAAAAGTAAAACAATCACATTTTCCTCCTTTCCTCCCTCCCTCCCTCCTCTTCTCCCTCCACCCCTCCCTCCCTCCCTTTCTGGCTATGAACTAATCTCCAGAAGCCACAGCATTTGCCTTGAGTTCTTCAGCTTTCTCCTTAAAAACAGATTTTTAAACTCATGAGCTTGTGTGTGTGTGTGTGTGTGTGTGTGTGTGTGTGTGTGATTGTATGTTATGTATGTGTTATGTTCCAGAAGAGAGTGTTAGATTCCTTGGAGCTAGAATTACAGGTGGATGTGATGTGGGTATTGGGAACTTAGCTCAGGTCTTTGGAAGAGCAGGCTGTGCTCTTAAACTTGGAATTGTCTCTCCAGCCTCAAGCTTACCCCTTCTTAAAAAAAAACAAAAAACAAAAACAAAAAAAAAACGTGGTTATCATACTGGAACTCAGACTACGTTGAAAGTATAATTGACTGCTTTAGATTTACTCTGTCATCAAAATCTAACTGGCCACTTCATGGAAGACCGGTTTCAAACTAGGTTTACAACTAGACTTGTAATGCTGGGTCCTTCAAGGTGGAGAACTTGTTGGGCTGTGTCTGGTTGCAGCTCGGCGACCTTCACATTTGATGCTGGCCTGACTGTATGCAGACTGTGACTGGAAGCCTTCTTCTGGCTGCACATTTGAGAATCACCAAAGGAGAGCTGTGGATGCTACAGCCTTAGGCCAAAGATAGAGAGGTGGATGCAGGCTTGGAGGCTCTCACTAGGTACAGTCCTCCTAGGATGTGGTACCATTACCACACTAACTGCCATGATGCATGATGCATGGCAGGCATCCAATTAATAAGTCAACAGATGTTGGCCTGACCTGGAAGGCTGCTACTCCCATGACTTCTGCCTATGGTCATTTTATTACGGACACTGTAACAGTGTCCGGAACTTGACCTCATCGCTACCTTTTCTAACAGATATGTCTTACAAATTGATGTGGAAAAGAGAGAAAGTGGTTAAGGGTGGCTTCTTAGAAAACAACCCCGTGAGTGGTATTCTGCTGATGGCCGATGCTGACCAGGCTGAAGACACTGAGGCGTGCTTTGCCAACCAGTCCTGCTTAGCCCTCCTTGCCAACCTGTGATCTAGGATGAACAGGTCCAGACTACTTTTTTTCCAAAGCTTTAGTGGAGTGACTTCTCACTGAATTGCAATGTTTTTTTTTTTTTTTTTTTCATAGTCTCTGTTTCTGAAAGGGTATTTTTTTTTAAATGCAAAACAGACTTATTAGCCAATGTTATAAGTTAAAAATAACTTGCTGGTCGGGTGGGGCAGGGACAAGAAGCCACCGGATCTATTCAGGTTAGTGACTTTTGCAGAGAGGAGCTGGATGGGCTGAGGGTATTAGGCTTGACCTGCTGGTGGTGTCACAGGAATGTATGTTTAATGTCCCAACAATTTGCCTATGGCCTGGCAGACCTTTGGCCTGGGGTGGGGCATCATCCTTAAAGCAGTGTGAAATACTTCTGCCGAGTGTGTTTCAGCTGGGCTGGCCAGCCATGAGTTATTTTGGAGGCTTTGGCTGCCGTAAGCTCTGCCAACTAAACTCGAGTCAGTCAGACATATGTCACTGAAAATATCCTCATTACTTTAATGAGGATCACTTGGCATTCCTCAAGCGTGGGCCTGGCTCTGTTTAGAAGAAAGAGTCAAGAGTGTTTTTGTTATAACTCTTTCTTTCACGAAACAATTGCACATTTTTTGGTTGTTGTTGAAAACTCTTTTTTACTATGTAAACGTTTTTAGTTACATTTGTTTATTTGTTTGTTTATTTCTGCATGACCGGGGCCCAAGTGTGGAGGTCAAGAGGACAATTTGCTGGCCCTCTTTTTGTTCTCGCATAGGTAGTCAGAAAGATTTAGAGGCAAGGCTAACTTTTCTACAGTCAAGGAAGTAGATAAAACTGAAACATTCCCATTGATGGGAGGACAAACTTCTATCAGTAACTTCTTATTCTCCTTCCTTTAAAAAAAGTTCTACGGGGCTGAAGAGATGGCTCAGTGGTTAAGAATGCATTCTGCTTGTGGTGGTTTGAATGAAAATGGCCTCATAGGCTCATAGGGAGAGGCTTTGTTTGAAAGGATTAGGACCAGTGTCCTTGTTGGAGTAGGTGTGGCCTTGTTGGAGGAAGTGTGTCACTGGGGGTAGGCTTTGAGGTTTCAGAAGCTCAGGTCAGGCCCAGTGGCTGGCTTCTCTCTCTCTCTCTCTCTCTCTCTCTCTCTCTCTCTCTCTCTCTCTCTCTCTCTCTCTCTCATGCTGTTGCCTATAGATCAAGATGTAGAACTCTCAACTACCTCTCCAGCACCATGTCTGTCTGCATGTCTTCATGCTTCCCACCATGATGATAACGGACTACACCTCTGAACCTGTAAGCCAGCCCCAATTAAATGTTTTTCTTTATAAGAGTTGTAGTGGTCATGGTGTCTCTTCACAGCAACAAGACACTGACTAAGACATTGTTCTTGCAGTGGACATAACTTTGGTCCCCAGCACCCATCCTGGGTATCTCACAACTGCCTGTAACTCCAGCTGCAGAGGAATCTTAATACCTCTGGTTTCTGAGGGCACCTGGACTCATGTGCACATAACCCCCTCGCTTAACCTAAAAATCAAATAAATCTTTAAAACCTCTGTTTTATTATTTATTTATTTTTTGAGACCGGGTTTCATGTAGTCCCGACTAGCCTTAAAAATCTCGGTGTAGCTAAGATTGGCTTTGAAAACTCCTGATCCTCCAGCCTCTTTCTCCCAAATGTTGGGGTTTCAGGTGTGTGCCACCATTTCCCACTTAAAACTAAGTTTTCAAAAATAGTTTGTTTTGGATATTAAGTTTGCTAGGGAGGCATGGCTTTTAAAACAAAATTAGTGCATGGTACTGATTAAATCTAGACTTGATAATCCTCCAAATGATATTTGGAATTGTTGGGCAAGAAATTTTAGTTCTGAGATCTCACAGTTACAAATACAGCTTGGGCTGAAGTTCATGTAGACACAGTGTCTGGTGGCTTACTTAATACCAGAAATGTTTATGCAGCTTTGCTAGTTAGCTGTTTTTACCCCACTTAATAGATGAAGAGACTGAGCCATAGGTGTGATAGTGACTTACTATTTTCTTAAAAATCAGAACAGCTTCTAGAGACAAGCTTTGCCCCAAGAAGGTCCACAGAACAGGGACTCACAGAGGCACACGTGGATTTCACAGCAGCCCTGGAAGCTGGGTGTCAGTAATTGAACCCAGGACTCATGAATGCCAGGCGAGCACTCTACATCCCCAGCCTGGCTTGTTATTTTTGACAGATTCTTGTCATCACCACCTGTTGTGACTGGTTGACCTTCCTGAGCCTTTAGTGAGTCAGGTGAAGTGTGTGTCTGAGTGTGAGTCAGCTCCATGTTTATGGACTCTCAGAGAAGTCATATAACCTGTTTGTGGTCCTGAGTTTATGCTTGTACATGCATATGTGTTACAGAGACAGTACAGATCTTTGACACCACCATTGGAAGGCTGATGTTAACAGTTAACTTTTCACTGAGAAACAAATCATTATCTCCGATTTCCCTGGATGTACTGCCTGTCGGACCTGTAGTTTTTCAGTCTGTAGGTACATCTTGCTTCCTGTTGTATGCCAGAAGCCTACATGTATGTGATCTTGGAGTGTTTAGAGTTGCATCGCCAAGCTGAGCTCAGCAGTTGCAAACTGCAAAACCATTTCATTGCCTCCCTCAGTAAACATAAGAACAAGACAAGCCCAGGGTTTCTTTTAAATAACAGTACATTCACTTAAGAAAGAAAAAATTAATTTACAAAGGAGAACAGAACATTCATCTTTCTTTCTGCCCTGACTACAGCCTGAGAAATCAGGTCCCTTAAGGGACATATTATTTTTAACCAGCCTTTACTGCTCATGGTAACTGAAGAAATAATTCAGTCTTTTAAACATCTGCTTTTCTAAAAGTGGCAGTCTATAAAAGCCCTTTGCTTTTTGTCTTCTGGCTGTATATTTACTGATGAGCTGGGGCATAGTTTGTATCCTCTGCCCGCTCCTCCTTGGCTTCTGACAGCCTGGGCAGAGGGGGGGATTATTTGGAATTCTTGCTTCAACCGTTTTTACAGGTAGGAAAATTTATGGTAGAGTCTCATTCATTCACCATCAAGCTGTGCCACGTTCCTGGCAATGTCCTAAAGCTCCTCAGGGAACACAAACACACTGGAGGAGTTCTGAGGCTGCAAGGAAAGAGCACTGTGTGAGCATGCATAGCTAAAGCATCATGGCATGTATAGTGAGAGTGATAGGTACAGGCGTTACTGGACACCCAGGAGGACTCGCCATGGCTCGAC